ACTTAAATTATATTAATTAAAATTATAATAGTAATAAATAAAAATAATTAATGGGAAACTTCCTTATAATTCCCTAAACCTCTTTTACTTTTCCTCCTCAGTCCCCACACAAATTTTTTTACTCTACACTCCCTACCCCCATAAACAACTTCCATTTAACTCCCTAGTTTTAAAATAAGTCAAAAATAAATTAACTTATTACATCATCCCACTACAACCAACATCATATATTATTTTATTAGTTTTTTCTCTCTTTCCACTACCATCATTCTTAATTTTTTATTATTCTCTCTCTCTCTCTCTCTCTCTCTCTCTCTCCATATATATTTTTTTTATCATCTTCTACTATTTATTACTTCTACTACTAATTTTTCTTATTTTTAATTAATATAAATATATTTTTGTATAAACTATCTAAAGCAAAATAATTTATATTTTACTAATATTTATTTCATATAAATGTATATTACACTAAATCTATAAATATATATTTTTTACGTTCAAATTTATCAACTAATTCTCTAAAATTAAATTGTAAATTTTAAATTTTATTAAAAAAAAATCAAAAATCTATCTAATTTTTAAGAGGAATATACCAATTAGTAAGATACTTGTGTACTACACGAATACGTAAAGATATTAATATTCGTACAATAAAAAAATTAAATAATTTATTTTTATATTGTAAAATTATGTATAATGAATATAAAAAATAATGAATAACTAACAAAGTAATAATTAATTCAAAATGGGGTCCGTATTTTTTCACTTAGTTTTTTTTATTTTTTTAAAATCTATGGTAAAAACGCATTAGAATGATTATTTATGGTTGATTACTGAATTAGATTTTTATTATATTTGTTATAAGATAATTTATGCGTATTCATATTTTTGAAAATATTTTTTTAATAAATATAGTTTTATTTATAATGATAGATGTAATTCTTTTTTATTTTATATATGCACTATGGATGTCAAATCGAGATCATTAAAATATGATTATTTTGAGATATAACATTCAAAAAATAAAACAAAAATAAAAAATTATAAATATTTAAAAGTAAAAAGAATACATATTTTTATAACAATTATTATATGAACTGAATAAGAAAGAGTAAGAGTAGTATATGGCAGGGCCGGCCCTGAGGTAGGGCGGGCCGGGCGACCGCCCAGGGCCCCTTCTTACCCAGGGACCCACTTTTATATATTTTTTAATATATGTATATATATATATATATTAATTATATAATATGAATATAAAATTGATCTTAAATCATATTTTTTTTTTATTTCTTAACAAGGATTTTTATATTTCATCCTCCTTCTAATTTTCATAATAAAATTAAATAGTAGTTATTTTTAGTGGATTTATTTTTTTTGCATATTTTTATTTATTCTTTTAATACTTTGCTAATTTTTTTCTTCTTGCTTGAATATGCAAAATGTTATTTTATGATTGGATAATTCAATTATGTTAGTGATAGCCAGTAAAAGGGT